TGGCATGACAAGGAACAATGGACACAAATTATTGGAGAGTAGGTTTAGATTAGACATCCGCAAGAACTACTTCACAGTTAGGGCGGCTAGGAGCTGGAACCAACTTCTAAGGGAAGTGGTGCTGGCTCGTACCCTGGGGATCTTTAAGAAGAGATTTGATGCCTACCTGGCTGGACTCATTTGAGTCCAGTTTTTTTCTCCCGCCCAGGCAGGGGGTCGGACTTAAAGATCTACAAGGTCCCTTCCAACCCTACTTCTATGATTCTATGAGCTCTAACATATCTTAAATTAAAACTATCTTTATATAGGTTTATTTTTTTAAAAGCATCTTAACAAAAAATAAATAAATCAATAAATACAATACAATTAAAAAATATATATTTAAAATTTTAAAAATCTGATTTCTTGTTTGTTTTTAATCGTTGCTTTTTATCCATCCTGCTTTATGAACTGGCTAGCAGAAGTGATAGTTCACCAGTTGTAGCTGTACATCAATAACAAGGTCTTATCAGTGAACTGCCTGTACCCCAAAGGGTCCTGTGGCTTTATCCCATTCATCCGTATCCTAAATGTTTACGTTTCAGCTTTTAAGTGTTATAGGTGCCTCTCAACTGCAAATGAGGTTTAGCATATCTTCCTAACAAAAGTTTTTTGGATTTTCGTAATACTGGTCTGTCAGTCAAAATCTCTCTCAAAAGGTTATCTTTGGGTCCTTGGTTAGAGGTATTGTGTATTTTAACAACATTTACAAGACTATATTTCCATCCTTTTTTATGAGGGAAGATATTTTCATTCTTGACTCCCACAGTTCCAGCATGCTGGCAGAACCTTACCTAAACTAGAACAGAGCTCCCAATCCTTGTATGGATCCATAGCCAATAAACTGACACAACAATCCCCCCTAATACAAACAATGCTGCTACACAGTTCTTGACCATTTGTGTTGATGTCATTCTCTTAGTCTAGGGCCATTTTACAATGTTCTTTATACATGACCAATACAGGAAGGAAAACAAGCACCTTGGTAAACAGTGTGCTGCTCCTACAGATGAGCTACCTCCTACTGCAGAACAGTAAAGTAAAATCCTGCCTACTTAAGTAGCACAGAAGCTGGCATACTGCCATTGTATCTGCAAGGATCTGTACTGAGTGCTATTTTAAATACTGGAGGAAAAGCCTGGAAAGCCAGGTTTAGCAGTTGTCAGATCCAAGGTTTAAGGAAATTATTAGTTGTTTTCTAACTTTTGGAGACTGCGGCCCTTCTGCTTCCCTGTCATGACAGGCAGAAATGCTACTGGGAAAGACGTCATTCCTTAGAAAATACCTCTGGGAAGTTCACATGTCTGAAGAGCCCCCTTAACAGAGGAGGTTTTCTTGATTTAAGAGACAATGTATGTATATCTTCCCCCAGTTTCTGTGATACCAAATGTGCAAAAGGTTTAGCAGAATACAGCTTGGTTGATGCTGGGTACCATTCACATCCCACATTATTCCTTCCTGTGATTCACCCTCTGTAACAAAAGAGGTGGGAGGTTTCACAGCTAAATATGGCATCACTTAGTTAGCAGCACAGCTACTGATATGACACAAATTGGATAATTCTTTATCCAAGTGAGTTACAGCAGTGCATTTGGAAACTAAACGCTTTCCCTCTAGAAGATCTTAAGTAGGATGGTTAAAAAGGGATTATTCATGCTAAAGGAGTTTGGAATTTTACTCTGTTCCTGTTGTTTAAAACCATTTGCTACCAACTGAAATCAAGATTATCATTAACTACAAAGGTTTAGTTACTTTAGTTTAGTTAACAACAATTTTAGCACATCCGGTGCCTATAGAGGAAACTTTCATTCATTTTTAATTGAAGCTGTTTTTGCAAGGGGTGATGCATTTTTACCTACCCCACCACAAATTCTCTATCAAATTAAGTCTGGCCCTTGTTAAGCCTCTCTTCCCCCCGTTAGGAAGCTACTTTCATCAGTCATTCCTTGCTG